ACACCCTAGGGCCCTCTCAGCATTGATTTAAAGGCTGGGGAAGTGAAAAATGAAGGTAGGATATAATGAATATAAACATGTACAGTACAATTTACATGTATTCATAAATCTAACAGATCAATGTCAAATATACATAAAATGCAATATGCACCTGTGTAGAGATCTACTCATAAAGATCTCACAAGCTGCAAAGGAGGAAAAAAAAAAAAAGCTGCCAAGTCACAGCACTCACACATGTTCAGAGCAGGTTATCACATTCTAGGAAAGCTTTGAAAGTGTTGATTAATGAAAATAATCCCAATTAATTCTAGATTAGTTAACTGACCTACATGTTAAAAATACTTTTTWAAAGGATATCTATTTTACTAGAAACTATAAGTCCTTACTGATAGGATAAGGAGGTAATCTGACTTCTTTATATACAAGAGTGAAAAAAACAATCTTACATTATCAGCCAGCATCAACGCTCCAGCCTCAATGACAAACTCATGAGATTCTTCATCTCTCACAACAGCTGCTGTTAAGCCAGCAGCACTGGATGCTTTGCCACTGGTGTAGACAGCTCTGGGGCTGAACTCCTCTACATGCCTGTTCAAGGTTATCATATAAAGACTCATTAGAATGTGACTACACATACATTCCCTTTCTAGGAAAATCAGCTGACAGGTTATGTYAATGAAGAACATCTAAGAGTTGCAGTAAGCTTAAGCGATTCATAAAGACATACGACAGTTGCTTATGCCTATAATCCCAGCAACTTGGAAAGTTGAGACAGGAAGCCTCAGTTTGAAGCCAGCCTTGTAATTTAGTGAGACCCCTTCTCAAAATGAAAAATAAAGTGGTGGGGATGTATGTCAGTGGTTAAGCATCCCTGGGTTTAGGTCTAATCCCCAGTACCAAAAAAAAAAAAAAAAGAGACAAGACATGCCACAAACTGAATGGGAAACCTTATRTTCTTTGACTTTTAAAAATGCATTTAAAACCAATCCTGTGAAATGGAAAATAAAAGTTTTGACAATTTGGCAACAATGTTCTATTGTAAGATTTGCAATAAAAACAAAATACAAGACAAAACTAGATGTGAGATTTATTCCAGAAGTTCAATTACTTTAACAACTGAAAACCAATATGCTATGCCCTAAACCTGTTAAAGGATTTTTCTTTAATCTGATAAACAGCATCTATAAAACCCCACAGTTAACATTATGTTTTAAGGCTAAAGGCTGACTGCTTTGGCCTAAGGTCAGGAATAAGATCTCAGACAAAGATGTCTACTTCTACGTCACTTCTATTTAACATTATAATAAAGAATCTAGCAAGGGAAATTAGGCAAGAAAAAAGATATCCAAACTGGAAAGGAGAAATTTTCCACTCATCATTATTTTGTAGATATATGATAGGCCAGGCACAGTGGCTCACATCTGTAATCCCAGCAGCTTGGAAGGCTGAGGCAGGAGGATTGCAAGTTTGAAGCCAGCCTCAGCAACTTAATAGGGCTGTAAGCAACCTAGTGAGACCCTGTCTCAAAAAATAAAATGGGCTGGGGGCGTGGCTCAGTGGTTAAGTGCCTTTGAGTTCAATCCCTGGCAAACAAAATCAACCACCACCACCACYAATCTTCTCTGAACTTGCAGTGAAAGACCCAAAATAAAATAATTTTTATTTCTAATGGCATCAAGAAGAAAAACTACTCTRGAATAAATTCAATGAAAGTGCAAACTTCCACTCTGAATACTAGAAAGTACTGTTAATAGATATTCCATATTCATGAATTGGACTTAATGTTGTTGAAATGTTAATATAGTACAGCTGGAGAAGTGTATGCCTGTAATCCCA